ATCAAAAAGCAGGTCTGGCAGCAAATCCATCTCTCCCCATTCCTTGATCTGTCACGTTAACCCCTGGCTAGTGCACACCAAAATCTGCAGAGAACCAGGAGAGAAGAACAATGTTTTCAGCCCTGTCTCCTGATCACGAGTGGAGTGGGACTGATGTCACTCCTCTACCTCCTACCCAGCCTTTTCCTTTGACCTATTTCTTTGTCCATGACCCTTTTCCATCACAGCTTCTGTAACTGCAACTATTTGTACCTACAGTTTCTCACTCAATGGCATGAATGATACTGCTTTCACTACTGTCCACAGCCTCCTGAACAGCACAGACAAAACTGATGGTTCTCACTTTCACTCCACTGCCAGTCACAGGCAGGAGAGGGACCACAGTCACCCAAGGCTACCTGGTCACACGTGAAAACAGAAAAACTGCGTTCCCACCTGGAACCACACGCCTAAATTGGAACACACCCCTGCAGAAACCTGCTATTACCAGGTAATTTACTATAAATTCTCCTCTTTAAAAATACAACAGAACTTTGGAAAATCCGAGGATGCTGAACCCCGCGAGTCTCTGCCGTGTCCAAGGGGCTGTGCCACCGCGAGCCAGCTCCGCTCTCACACAAAAGGACGTCGCTCCGAGGGAGCTCCCTCTCCATTTTACAGCCAGGGAGGAGGTCGGTGCTCCAGGTGCGGGGCCGGGAAGCGGCCGGGGCCGGCAGGAAAGCGCCCATTGTGCGGCGAGAGGGGCTGCACAAAGCGCCCGGCCCGCCTTTGTTAGCGGGAGCGGAATTCCACGGCTCTTTTCCTCCTTTTTTTTTTTTTTTTTTTTTCCCTCCCCCGCTTCCCCGGCGGAGCTGCCCCGGGGGGGCGGCCCCGCGCTCGGCGGTCACCGCGCCCGCTCCCGGCCCTGTGTTTCGGGCGGGGGGCGCGGCGGCCCCGCGGCCCCGCCGGGGCGGACCCTGCCCGGCGCCCCGGAGGCCGGCAGGGCGCGGGTGCCCGCGGGCCGCGCCGGGCCCGTGAGCCCCGGGGCGCGGCGGCGGCGGGGCCCCCCGGGCGGGCCCGTCCCCCCCCGAGCCGGCGCGGCCCCGGTACCTGCTGATCTTCTGCGCGAAGGCGCGGCGCTCGGCCATGGCCGCGCTGGGGCTCCGCGCTGCCGGCCCGGCCAGCGCTCGGCCGCCGTAATGCTCCGCCGAGCCGCGCACCCGCGCGGCGCAGCCCGCGCAGCTCCCACCCCCGGCGCTCGCCGCGCCCGCCCGCCTCCTCCCCCTCCGCGGGCAGGGGCCGCTCCTCGCAGATATACGGCGGGGCGGGCGGGCCCGGCGCGGCGGGGAGGGACCGTCCCCGTTCCCGACCCCGTCCCTCTGACCTCCGCCGGGCTCGGACGGGCTCCACTGAGCGCCGCTTTATTCCCATGTGACAACGGAGGGGGTGTGGGGTTGTTCCCGGCACTGATGAAGATCTGCTGGTGGTTTGGGAAAAAGGCTCCTCAGCCGGCTCACGCCGCCCAGCAGCTCATCCCGGCCCTCACCCAAAACTGCAGCAGGGGTCCCGTGTGTGCTGGCCCTTGGGGGCACCTCACAGAACCACTGAACCAATTGGGTTGGAAAAGACTTCTGAGATCATCGAGCCCAACCTGTGACCAAACACCACCTTGTCAATTAGACCATGGCACTGAGTGCCATGTCCAGTCTTAAGCGCCTCCAGGGATGGGGACTGCACCACCTCCCTGGGCAGCCCCTTCCGATGTCTGATCACCCCTTCTGTGAAGAAATTCCTCCTGATGTCCAACCTGAACCTCCCCTGGCATAGCTCAAGACCTCACTGGGTGTTACGGGTCTGCGTGGCACATCTGGGTCTCTTTGGCCACTGACATACCCACCCTGCATGGCACTGAGGACACCACTGACCACCGCGGTCCTGCCTGCAGGGACACCACTGGGCTCTCAGTCTGTCCTGCCCTGTATAGTACCAACTTTTCCTTCAGAAAGGCTAAAACTCATCCCTAATGATGATTCAGAAGACGGTTGGAAAAGTGTAACATCCACCTTCCCATCCAAACAGGTCATTACTACCAGTCTCTCCAAACGTGCTGTATTTGGGGTCATCACAACGGAAAGAGGGGTAGAGAATGGGGAGTTAAAAAAACCCACTATTTTGGAACTTCAAAGCATAGGACACGTTCTAGCAGTTAATTCCAAGTCACTGCTACCCTGCATAGGCTGTGCCTTGATCTAAACCAGGGAGCTATTAATAGTAACCCAGGAAGTGTCCAAAAGCAGGAGTGCTAATTCACCCCACTCCATCTGTTTGCATTGTGTGAATGTTTCCCACATACTGAGGACACTAATTCTTCCCCTTGCAGGAGCCACTGATTTCCAGCTGCATATAATTATTCTGCTTTCCTGTTTGTGTGTGTTTACACAGGGAATGCCAGGCCCCCAAATCTCCAAATATATACGTGTGAGTAACCTCAGTGGATTTAGTCAGGCTCTGTGCACACACCAAGTGAATCCCATGTGGGTAAGATTGTGACCCTTGACAGAAATGTGCTGTTGTGCTTTACACAGATGGAGATCCTGAGAAGCAAAGACCAATTCTGCACACTGAGAAAGGGATGTTCTTCTCCAAAGGGGAAGGGAAAAAATATCCCACAATATCTGCCAAGACAAAAGACTTTTGCTCTGGAATTCCTGCCTCCGTGGAGAATTGCACATCAGAGAATTCCATCACATAGAGTGGATGGGATAAGCTGTTTACCTTCTTATATCCACATAAATTGTGGTTGCCCCATCCCTAGAAGTGTTCAAGGCCGGGTTGGATGGGGCTTGGAGCAATCTGGTCTAGTGGGAGGTGTCCCTGTCCAGGGCAGGAGATAATCTTTAGGGTCACTTCCAACCCCAAACACAGGATTCTATGACCAAATTCTCATACACGGTGTGTGTGCTCACAAGAACAGACCAAAGCATGAGGGACTACCAGGAATGTTTGTCTTTCCTTCATCCTGTACGGAATTTCCTTTCCAAAATGGCATCAGTCTGAAACACAGGAGGGCTAATTTAGCCCTGTCCTAAGGCAAAATGTCCCTGCCTAACCCTTTGAGACAGAAACTGGGAATCCTGCAGTTCAGAAAGGGAAACTCTTCTCACTGCCAGAAGGTGGAAAGAGCAGCCCAGCCCCAGCAGCCCTGACATACAGAGCACTAAGTATCCAAGGTCCACCAGAGACCTCTTGGATTTTAGGTTTCATTTTCCCCTCCTGTCAGTTGCTACCACAGAGAGAAGACCTTGGTTAAGCCGTGGGCACTGAGTTTTGATGTCACCTTTGCTCATCCGTCTGTGTCTTGCTCTTCCTTGACTTTCTCTGTTGCTCAGAGCTGGGGCAGATGAGCTCCAGACAATATAATTGGGTTATATATGAACAAAATCCCTCAATTAATAGTCAACATCAAGTGAATTCCAGGAAAAATAACAGATTCCTCATTACTTTTCAGACAGTAATAGCCCAGCAAAAGTCTACGGGTAACTTCAAATAGTAAGAGATCACTGAGGTTGGTAGAAATGTACACATGATCTTGTACAGAGAACCAAGAGCTTCTCTAGATTGTCTGAATTTTGCAGTGCATGAAGCATTAACCAAAACAAGTCAAGGAAAAAGTAAAGAAATATGAGAAAAAAAAAAGATGTAGTCTTTTACAATTATAAATCCAATAACGCCAAACATTAACATTCATGTTAAAAATCCTGCCCCCATATCCCTGGTAAGTCAGTGATTGAGGAGGAGGTGTTATTTTGGGTACTAGGGTGAGTGCTGCCACTGACAGGCACAGAGCCACATAACCCTCCTGCCTCTTGTTTCCTCATCTTAGAAGTGAATTAATAGAAGGAAATGCTTTGTCTGAAGAAACAAACTCAAGCTTTGCAAAGAAGAGAATGTGACCAACTGAGCACAGAGACCCGTTACATGGAATTTCAGTCTGCCAAAAAAATTTCTCCAGGCATCTCTTTAGGAACTAACAGCTCCCTCTGATTCAGAAACAACTGTTGTGTGCAAGTTTTTCCTGTGGAAGATGGAACTATTTTCTTTTACTGGGGTGAAATTGTACGCAATAGATGAGGTATTTGGAGTATTGCACTGCTTGTTTTTCATGACGTTGTTTGTGCTTTTGTATTGTCCTCAAGGGTGTCTGGTATCTCAGAATGAGGGTGAAGACAAAGAAAGACCAGCCTCAGTGGAGGGACTGCGTACACTGCAATTAATACCTCCAGACAGCCCAAGTTAATTTAAATTAATGTTTGGACAGAGGGTACATATTTCTAGCAACCAATTTAAACCCTTGAACTTTATCAGCATTATGAGGATACTGAATAGTTACTCTCCATTAACACACTGTAATCCTTTACCATGTTTTAGGAAGCAAAGAAGGAACCTGATTTGTTCTACACTGGATCCCAACGGTGCATCAGCCTTTGAGAGACATCACTGCTTCCAAAATGGAGTTAGTCCATCTATGCAGCCATCATTAACAAGGACTTGCTGCTCCAAGGAAACAGTATCTTAGAAGCTGGGAGTGATCCTCACTTGAATTGGTGCATTAGCACTGCACCACAGCAAAGAAAACAAAAAAACCTTGGGAGCTGAGGAACACTGTGAAAGGTGATGGTCTGCACTGCAGTTGTTGCACTTCCCTTTTAGTCAACTTGCTGATTTGGGGGCTGGAGGAAAAGCCCAGCAACTTACCAAGACACGGACTGTCATGTTGAAAGTCACCTTTTAGTCTTCTCTGATAAACTATGTAACAAAAAGCTGAGGAATGAACCATTGAGTCTACAACTGTGAGCTGAATTTGGGCTGAGCATCTACCTGAAGTTCATGGCGTGAACACAGGGATCTTCCACCTGGAGCTGTGGAACAACGGCTCTTACACTGAAGAGGTGGGAATGAAGAAGCATTTTGACCAATTCTCCAGGGTACCTGTCCATGAACCATGCACATCCTTTAAAACATGTGACTAAAATGCTTTTTTTTATTGAGAATGACTTTTACTCAGCTATAATCAAATCTGGTAAATGCATCCTGCAAACAGAGATGTAACTCCTTGAGCCTGACATACGTAATCTTACAATGAAAAGATTAGGTCCTGCACAAGAAAAATCCCTTTGGATTGTAGCCATAAAACATTCTGACAAAAGTGAACCGCTCTGTGCCTTGTTTTTTAGCAAACTATTTACTGAGCTCATGGCTTCCTTGTTCTCCTTACGTAAACTTCCTCAAGGCAAACACACTGAAAACATTTTCCACGGAAAACGTGTCCAACATAATTCCATAAACAAAATAGTAAACAGGGACTGCAAATGCAGAGAGCCACCTCCTGGCAGCTACAGGGAACGAGTCACACTCACGAAGGGCCAAATCTCTGCTTCTTTTGCCAAATAATGTGTTTAAGGACAAGGAACTACACGTGTAATGTGAACTGCACAAGCAGAGGGATCTTCTCTAGACATGTATGGCAAGAGAGAGGATGTTGCTGTTCTCAGAAAAGGAGTAGCCTTGTCTGCCCAGTGCCCAAATTCTGTTGGATGAATGAGAAACCAGGAGAGGAAAGGAGGAGTGAGGACTCTCCAAATGCCTGCAGCCTTTGCTATATCCCTCACATTTATATTATTTCCTTCATAGATCCACAGCACTGTCCTAACCTTTCTAGAGCCTTCTTCAGATAGTGGTATTTGGTGTCAGCTTCCCTTTTGCCTTTATTCTTTGTCTTCTGAAATTATTTACCTTCGAGTTCTTCATTTTAGTAGATGGGTGCATGAAGTTCAATCTCCTCAGAGGAGGACTCACGGTCTTCCCAACTGAGCTTCCATCAATTTCTGCTCATGTTTATCATTTTCAGGCAGTTTATGTTTCTACTCCAGCACAGCTTTTGATCTCTCCCAGTTTAACACTCTGTAAATGCCACTAATGAGCTCTTTATTTCCTCCTCCAAGAGGAAATACAACCAAGATCTTACATTAAGGGCAGCCTGGGCACAGACTCTTACAAGTATCCTGCTGAATCCTCCTCTTCCCTACCTAATCCTGGGATAAAGAAATCTGGTTGTGGGTGGATTAAGTGGTACAAGCAGAAGTGTGCTGGCTACTTTGGGGGAGACAACCACCTGAGCAGCAATCCAGGCTCACACTGCCCCTTCCACTCTCATTGCTGCTTGAAAGGATGGGGCACAAGTTCACACAGCCCGGATTCCCATGTTTTTCTGTTATCCTGTTCCAGGGTCTCTTTTTACTTCCACAAAAACTGGAGGTATTTAGTATCTCTGAGGCTCTGCAAACTTAAACTTCAGAGCAGCTTCAAAACTTTCCAGAGGGAAACAGATCACAGATGGCTTACTTCCCTAGGAAATGAAACTAAAAATAAATGAGGAAAAATTCCCTTCTCTCAAGCTCTGTGACCCAGGGTCTGCTCTGCTCAGACAGCAGCCAAACAGGTGTTTGAGAAAGCACATTTGGCCAAATGTTTAATGAGGTTTTCTAAATATATCGTAGATTATTGATGGTGCTCAGATGAATTCCCAGATCAAGTAGGAATACAGTGGGAGATACAGGAGTAGGAGCTTCATTCCCCACTGCCCAGTGTTCTCTTACCACTCTGCAGTATTTGGTGGATAATGTTGTGTATCTCCATAAATCAGAGAGTATCTCCTCTAATTTTAAGTCTTGCCATTGCCATTTGGTGTCTACCTATTAAAAAAAGCAAAAATAAATTGTATTTCCCATGAACATGGATTTTAAATACTTCCTTACTATCCTACATTCATTTAGCACAACTGGAGCTCAAGGATGGTTGGCATGGCCTTCATGCCATTAAAATGTTGAAAGTGTGAACTCTGTGACATTTGTTAAAGTTTGTTGAACGAAGTTCTGTCCCACTGCCCTTGCAAATCCCTCCCACAGAAATAGGAATTAGTGGATGTGAAGGAAACTCTCTCTTTACACACAATTATTTGTATTATCTGAGTGATTATTTGGCAACCAAAGTTTTGTTTAACATGAAAAAAAGCAGAAAATAAATATCTTCCTTTTCATAACCTGTCTGCCCGAGGGATTTCCAGTGTATATCCAGATGGCACGTTGTGTCAACTCAGGGCATCAGGGCACAGTTATTCCATTTCAGAGCAGGAAGGTGCAGGCAACTGATTTCAGGCAAGGGAACAGCCACTTCCTTTGATGAACTGGGTAATTCTTTGTTCAACATTTAGCCAGATCCGAGCCACGTTATCTACTCAGCTCTCCACATTCAAGCCCATACACAGAGAGACAAGCACATTCATCTTTGTCTTCGAGAATAAAAGCAAAGATAAAACTTTAAACAACTATTATTCCTGAAAAAGATCATGAAATTCTGGTTGCAGGAGGCCCGTTTCCTTCTGCACTGATAGATCACCCACTATTGTGGGACCACAGTTTGTTTACAACAAACAGCAACTTGGGGTTTATTTTTAAATCTTTATCTTTGCTTGGAAGCAAAGGGCAAGCAGTGAGTTGAAAGGCAGGGAAGGATTAGAAAGGTGATCTGCTACATCCCCACTTCAAGCCAACAGGCAGAACCTTTGGAACATGATGTTGTCTGATTTGCATATTAATACCTAGGATTGTCTTCACTGACTGACCCTGCTATATGAAATATATCCATGAGATTGCCGAAAAAACCACTGGGAAATACACAAAACATCTACTGTTGGTATTTGCACTGAAGCTAAATTTTAGATAATGTGCTGATTATAAAAAATTAAACTCAGCCTGGTCATTTCTGACCAGCAGAAGGCAGTAAAATCACAAAATGGAAAAAAAACCACCTGACTTTGCTTCATGAACATAAAATTGGGCTGGTGAGTACACAAAGAAAGCAGGAACATCATCCTTTTATAGGATGTTGAGCTGTAATGCCAGTTCCAGACAGTCGAGAAATTCAAGTCAATCCTTCACAAATCCTGCACTTTTTTTTTTTAAGCCCTTGGCTCCTGATACACCCAATGAGTATTTTTAAGCAGCTTAAGACAAACAGATTAATGAAGAACCTACTTTAAAAAACGCTAAAAAAAACCCCCAAATCCCTCAGGGGAGTGAGAGGAGATGCAGTGGCTCCCATGTGCTTCAGAGAAGAAATAAAGCGGTGAATTCAATCGGAGCACAATTTTGGCACGGGCTGGGCTGGACACTGAAGTCCTCTGGAGTGTGGAGATCTGGGAAGCATTTTGCTCTAATGGAGTCAAAAGATACCGAAATTAAAAAAAAAAAATCAATAAATACAATGAATAATCAAAACAAAAACCCATAAAAAAACCCCCAAACCAAAACAACAACAAAAAAACCCACATAAAACCCCCAAACAAAACCACAAAAAAACCACCAAAACCCAACCTAAAACCCCCAACAAAACAAAAAAATCCTCTCAAAAAACCCCAAACAGAGAAATGCTGTTAAGAGGGCAGCTGCCGATCCCGTGACGGGCCGGACTTCCCGCTCTCGCTCGCCTTCCTGAGGCTTCGCCTCCAGCCACAGCCCGGCCCGGCCCGGCCCCCCCGATTCCCTCACCCCACTCCGCCGCCCCCCTCCATCCTGTTCCTCCTTCCCTCCTTTTCCTCCCTCCCTCCATTTCCTCCCTCCTCTTCCTCCCTCATTCCCTCCTCTTCCTCCCTCCCGCCTCCCAGCCGCACTCCTGCCGGACTACAACTCCCAGCGTGCCCCGCGCGCTCCGCACGGCCCGTCTCGCCGCGCCCCCGCCGCGGTGTCCGCCGGGAGTTGTAGTTCCCGCGCCGCTCCGCCGCGGCAGGCGCAGCGCCGGGAGGCCGCTGGCTCCCCGGGCGGCCCCGGGATGGCGGGGGCGGCTCCGTGAGGGGTGAGCGAAGGGCGGGGGGCGGCGGGACGGACCCTCCGCGGTGCCGGCTCGGGCTCGCATGTGTCCTGTGGGGTCGGCGTGTGTAGGGGCTCCTACTTGGCTGTGAATCTTCCGTGGGTAAAGCGTTCCGTCTCTGCTGCAGGATTTAAGGGGGGAAAAATAATCTGGGTTTGTTTTGTTTTGTTTTTTCACCCGGCAGCTTCACAGTATCGGTTTTAACTGTCTTCATGTGTGTTTGCAGCTCCTTAAAAATGACCTCCGGGAATTCCTCGCCGTCGTTCTTCCCTGTGGGTTTCGCCGACTGTCGCTGCCGCTGGTTAAGGTTCTTCCCAGGTAGAAATCCAAAGCAAAAGGGCCTTAATTCCTAATTAATAGAGATAATTCGTTTCATAATTATCACGTTTAGGCTTCATTCATTTCATTTCATCTCATCTCCCATTGCGGTTGCATGGGCAGGTTGCGTTGCTTTTCTGCTGTTAATGAAAACAAATGCTGTTATTGGGGAGTTTTGGGGTGTTTCTCCATCACTGTTGACAAACCATCCCCCTCGGACGGTGGGCAAGGGGGGCTCTGAGGGGTCAGGAGTTCGTGTTTCCATTACAGGCATGTCCTGCTGCTCCATGAGGGAACATCGTCCTGGGAATGTGTATTCAGATAACTTCTTACAAGAGTTATCAGTATGAAAGCATTGCCTTTAGATTTAATAATTTAATGATTTTGTGCCCCTTGGGCTTGGATCTCTATTCCCTGGGACCATCTCCTGATGCTGTTCCATTAATTTTGGTGGAACTCCTACTGATGCCGCCTTCTATTGATGGGAAGAGCCTGTGTTTTCCCAGTGGAATAAGTGTGTCTGGTTTGTGTTACCATTCTTCTTGGAAGCCCTTTTTGCGTCTTTAGTATAATGCCAGGGAAGAAGTGTAACTGCATTGACCATTGTCTTTTAGAGGAAAACGAGCAGCTTTCTCATTTAAATGATTTTGCGTTCAGGCGCTTTTGGAACTGTAGAGTTTGTTTCATTTCTAATTTAAGCCAGAGGAAGCTTTTATAGGAATTGGCTTTTAAGACAATCAATGGCCTCTACATAAATGACTGTTGTTGATGGATCATGTGGGGACAGACAGGACAGACACACATCCTGGAGAAGTTCATCTTACTGGTTTTGCCATCTAGAGCTGATGATACAGGCAGTCTTTCCTTTTCTACCTAAAGAAAAAAGAGGGGAGAAAAGGTAAGAAGTTAAAACCCAGTTTGAAATTGTCTTTTTCGTCCCTCCCCTACACAATCTCAGCTTGACTCAAGACCAATCATAGCAGGGTTGTAAGCCATTTCTTATTTTCACTGACAAAAAAAATGTAGACTTCCCCCACGTTTGTGAGCTGGCATTGCTTCTTTTTCTGATTTTTGTGAAATAATGATTGGAATAATGGGAAAACATGCTAGAGAGGGCTTGGGCAGCAGAGTGAAACAGTGGATCTGTGTAGCACCTTCAGGCTCTGATGATATTGCCACCCTGACATCTTCACCCTCTCTTCAATTACACTGCCAGTGATTAGGTTTTACTTAAACTGGGCTCCCAGTGGAGAGAAGCGACACAGTTTATCTGTGTCCTGCTTTTGATCCCAATTCAGTGGGGAATAACACATAGAAAGGTAAATACAGTTCTAGACTCTCCTTTTAAAGGAAGGAGGTTGTCTCCTGGCCCAAGTTTATTAATTAGACGAGATAATTCACTTTTGCTCACGTCATCCTCTGCTGTTATCAGGACTTCCTGTTGAGGCCAGAGCTCTTAATTTTTCAGTTGTCTGTGCAAGGATTTGGGCTGCCAAATATCATCCAGAAAACTTTCTGTATCAAGTAATTTAAAGTAAACCACTGACAGAATACACATGGTGAAGGAAGCTGTTAATTAATAGCAAATTTCCTGTTACAGAAAGGGCAGATTTCGCCTTAAAAGCAACCGAAATGGGTAATAATATAGGCAGAACATATACTACTTTTATCCCTGTTTCTGAGAAATCTGGTAAAATGAGACAGAACTCCCTCCATAGTCCACCTGCCCCATCTGAAAGACAAAAAGTGCTTGTTGTATTGTGTTCAGCAGAAAAGAACAGCATCTATTCTATTTAGCGAGATGCATCTTCATCTCACTGCTGATTAAAATGGGTGTGCTCGTGTGCCAGCGCAGGTTATGTGCTCTACATCAGTTTGCTGTGCAAGGGAGAGCTGTTGGAGAACATTATATTTTATTTAGCTTTGTGTAGTGCTTTTATTGGTGTGTTTTTGGAATTAAATTATTTTATTACTTATTCATGGAATGTGGGATTGCTTCTCAGTGTCTGGTAGCGGAGGATTCTGAGAGTTTATTGCTGTTTCTGGCCATGTTGTGCTTAAGTACCTGAGTGGGGGATGCTGTGCCCATGGATGTGTTTATCTTTGTGTTTTTCCAGCAGCAGAACTGAAAGCCTTACAAGACAGCGATGGCTTTTTCTCTAGGATTTGAATATGGAGGCCACAGGGACAGATGAAGTAGAAAAGATAAAATCAAAGTTTATGTCTGCATGGCACAACATGAAATACAGTAAGTGGAGCAGTGTCTGGTAAGATCCTGTCTCCATTGAAAGGAATGGAATGTTTCTTGTCGACATGAATGGGATCATGATTCAGAAACATAACTAATTAATAATAAAAATGCAATATGGCCTTTGAAGCAGTTTTTTCTTTGATACTGTAAACAACCTGACTAAAAAACTTCTTTAGCTTTTCATTTTTCAAATAGATTTGCATAATTTCTTTTTAAATTACTTACTTTGAAAACAGTAAATACATTATGTAAATGATGCTTGATTTGCATAGACTTTTAAACAGGGATAATATGGAATCATCTGCATAAAGTTTATTTTTAAATGTACTTTTCTGGAAAAAATAGGACAGTGTGCGAGATACAAACTCCACTGAAGAAGCTACTTCACACCTTGAGTAATGTCCTTTTCCACAGCTGAACATCAATAATTTATTTATGAACAACCAGATTTTCAAGTGTGCCCTTTACTAATCTGTCCTTGATTATTTTGCTTTCCCTTTAGAACTGAGGTTGCTCAGATTTACCATCAGGTTTCTGATAAATTTTGTTAATTCTCATAACTGAGCCTTGAAGATGTCTGGCAAGATGAAAAGATACTTTGTTTTCTACTTTCTTTAAGGCTACCACGTGGTTGAAGGGAAATAGTAGCCATTGCACCCTGTATGTAATTTTTTATGAGACCAAAACCCCATTTCAATACTTTTTTGTTTTATTCCTCTTTCAGAGGTTTACCTTTGGCTTAACTAGATGCTGTCAGCAATTGCTTTTTGGAATACTTCAGTCACAAATTTGTATTTGTTTTGCATCTATTTTAGGTTGGGTGTTGAAAACAAAAACTTACTTCAGCAGAAACTCTCCAGTCTTTCTGCTGGGAAAATGTTACCACTTCAAAACTGAGGGTGAGTACAGAGCACTTCCCTTATTCTAGTCTTACTCAACAGGAGGTCTGTGGATGATTTTTTAATCTTCTAGAAAGACTGTCATTAGCAATGACCAAATTCAAAATGTCAATATGAAAAGCTTAGAAAATACTCATGGAAATGTCCACCACTAATGCCACCCATCCTGATTTATTCCGATTTTGCACTGAAACCTTGTTCTTTCTGTGAATATTAGTGTTGTAATTTGCACTTTACTTCATTTACCATCAATTTGAGATTTTTTTTCTAAAAACCTCCTAGTTGAAATGGGGACAATACCTGTACCAGGAGTCACTACACCAACACCTTCATTATCATTTTCCAGTGTATGGTTTTCTGAGTCTCTCTCTCTCTATTTGGCCATTTACGGTTGGGTGAATTAAGCAGTTACTTGCAGGTCAGTGATTCCACTGGCATGGTGATGTCTGCATTGCTCTTCTTTTATTTTTCCTTTTTTTTTTTAATCTGGCCCATTTCTGTTACATTTGCTTTCCAGTTTTCCTTTCTTGTATTTGAAGTGATTGTTACTTTTTGTAAATTTGCCCTGTTTTCTAATTTGATATTGTATATCTGTTACTTGCTTTCTAATAGAAATGCCATACCAATTTATAACTTAAACTGTGCTTTGCCTTCCAGAATCTGGTGAGCTCTCTACAGATGGGGCCAATTTTGATAAAATCAACACAGAGATTTCAGGAAATGTTGAGGAGTTCCGTAAAGATTTTATTTCCAGAATCTGGCTGACATACAGAGAGGAATTCCCTCAGATAAAGGGGTCTGCATTAACCACAGACTGTGGCTGGGGCTGCACACTGAGAACTGGGCAGATGCTGCTGGCTCAGGGCCTTATGCTTCATTTTCTTGGGAGAGGTGAGTTATGGGGGAAGATCTGTGTGTGGGATCAGCACGGGTGTTCTGTGAGA